CCCCTAGGGTACGAGACCCCAGCCCAGCCCCCAGACCCCTATGACCGGATATGCACCGGATAACTGCCGGATAAAACAGATGACCTTCACTCATGAGTGATGGTCATCGGTGTGTCACACCGCTCGAGGAAATGCTCAATTGCGAGGAGAAAGACGTCTTCTATCGCCACAACGAAGTGGCGTTCGGGTACAATATCCTATGAAAGCATTATACCCAACGTTTTGTCTCCAACACAGCAGCATACAATGCTCTGGAAGTGTCCCGGGGGTCATGCGCCACCCTAGGGTAGGGTCAGGATAGGCCCAGACCCCCACCCTCAGAGCTCTTTGGGACCCTAGGGTAGGCCCTCCGACCCCAAGGCCCCCCGAGGTTTTGCCCAGGCTTTTGTAACAGATACATGGGTGACCGGGGGTCCTGCTGAAACACACATCCTAAATAGCCAATCAGGTACGTATGCGGCGATGGATTGGCCAAATCAAGCAACATTCTGATTGGCATTAATGCGCTATTTTCAGCCAATCAGCGTCGACATGCACGAGTCATGATGGCGATGGCGAGCACATTGGCGGCCGAAATACGTTTGGAAATGGAATCGCTCATACTTGGCACACCAATAGAGGATACTTTGGAGGGTGCGACACGCTACACCGCTTCGCCGTTGGAGGCGTACATCCCAAGTTATGCGACTCCAAAGTTTGGTCCTCGCGAACATATGTTTGCAGCTTTGCAGCTTTCTTGGCTCGTACTGTGTGCATACTTTCTGCAGCAGTTTAAAATGCACTTCTGTGGAAAAGATGTGGGCTCTCGGTAGCGGATTGATACGGAATGCAGAGTATTTGTCGGATGTCAGTGTCCCCATCAGTCCGCGTTGGCTCCTTTTTGGCTGCGTTAGCGAAAGTGTGCTCAACAATAATATTCGCAGCTTCAATGGTTTCTTGTATATGACTGGACGCTCTGGCTCCAAACTCGCCTTTACACCTTACAAGGAAAAGTAGTTTGACATTGTCAAATTGCTTTGTGGCACAAACATGACTCTGGGAACGCTGAAGCATCAAGCATCGTCACTGGTGGTGCCGTCTGAGAACGTGGACGGGTCGTTTACCCCGCCCAACAGCCTCTGTGATGACGAGATTGCGGCTCAAATGGAAGCTGCGGTCCACGACGCTGCGGCATCCGATGCCAGTGCAGCCCAAAACGCGCATTTGAAGCGCCGAGAGTGCTTGCTGTGGGGTGCTGTCGCAGCTGTCCTTTTTTTGATGGTCACTGGTGTCGTGGTTCAGCTGGTCGAAAACCAATACGTGCCGTCACCAACGGCTCAGCAACCAACGCCGCTCGCCACTGACAACGTCTCCATTGTCCGTACGCCCTAGATGTACAGTAGATTGAATGTTTTGAATCAGCCATCACACACCCTACCTTCTATTTTCCCGTACTTTTCCCGTACAAAGAACCGGAAGGATACGTCGAAATGGAAGGGACGCGGGTCCCCGCGCCGCCGGTCCGGGCCAACACGACCCGCTTGACGCCGGCGCGGCGCCACGTCCGCTCAAGTGGCACGCTGAAAGGTCCGTCGTTCATCACCGAGGTCGAGGTCAGCTCCATCCACAACGAGTGGCGCCAAGAAATCGCCGAAGGAACGAGCGACAACGACGACGACGATGACGAAGCCGACCGCGCGCTCGAGCGAGAGTTTCGCTCGCATGCGCTCACGCCATTCTACAAGGCGGATCCCGAGAAGGGTTTTACGATGGACATTATGATGCTCATCGACATGGCCAAGGTCGGGTCTCTTCGCGACGAGTTCCAGCAGAAGGAGTCGGGCTTGTCTGTGACTGAGTTTGTTACGGTCATGCTGCGCTTCGTGCACAGCAGCAAGCAGTCGGGCGACAACAAGTCGCATTTGCACGAGCTCACGGAGCCCCAGCTTATTGCGTACCTCTCGGAGCTCTTTGCGCAGATCGACATCAACGGCGATGGCACGATGGAGTGGGAAGAGTTTACGTCCTTCATCGTCGACACGGGTCTCGAGAGTCAGCAACCCAACTCGATTCAAATGTACCACCACTCGAGCTGGGAAGACACGTCCAAGCACAGCTCGGGCATCGACCGCATGTACTATTTCCCGACCAACGACCGACTCGCGCTCTGCGAGTACGGCGGCCACTCGCTAAAGATCTACAACTCCCGCTGCGAGCTGCTCAAAGCGCTCAAGTCCCCAGACGGCTTTGTGCTCTGCGCCGAATACGTCGACAAGGTGTCAACTTCTGCTCTTTTCTCATGTTTCTATCGTGTCGCGACTAGCTCAGCCAGTATGTTGTCGCGTCGTCGGACCTGCAGCTGCGCTTCTACGACGACACGTCGTACCGTTTGATCAAGAGCTGTCATACGCCCACGTCGCAAAACTGTTTGCGATGGTATCCGCAAGCCAACGTGCTCTTTTCCGGCGTAAGCTCGTTGGCAGCTATGCTTCTTGTTGGTCTTATTGGTGAGACTAGAGTGCCAGTGGCATCATTTATGCGTGGGACGCCGACAAGATGGAGGAGCGCCATCACATGGGTGGGATTGGTCGCGACGGGAAGCTTCTGACGCGGTCCCACGACGGCATTGTCCTCGATCTTCTCAACGTACGCACCGTCATATGACGTCAAGTGACAAGCAGTGCTAGCTCGAGACGCTCGAGACACTGGCGTCGGCCAGCATGGACAAGAGCATTCGACTATGGGATGTGAATACGGGTAAACACAAACAGCAGCTCGACGGGCACATGAAGGGCGTCCGCGCCCTCGCCTACTCGTCCGAGTACCGGTTTCTGGTGTCGGCAGGGTTTGACTTTGACGCGCTCGTCTGGAACCCGTACGTGGACCAGCTCATTTTGCGTCTGCATGGCCACCAAAACTCGCTCTGCGGTGTCGAAATCGTGCCCGACACGCCACAGATCATCACGGCCGACATTGACGGCGTCTTCAAGGTAACCTTTTGTGCTGACGACCACCTAAGACGTTGCGGTTAGGTGTGGGACATTCGCAACTTTGCGTGCATGCAAACGTTTACGGCGGAAAATGTGAGTCTCGGAGAAATCAAGACATTTGCCTCGGTGTCGTCCCAGAAGCGAATCGTTGCCGGCGGCAAGAGGGTCTCTCACACAAATTTCACTGTGCGGATGCGCTCACGGGTATTTAATCTCGTAGATGACGACATTTGACTATGAAAAGCTGCGCAATCCCAAGCTCACGGACGATTTTCCGGTTTTTGTGGTCCTGTACAACCCCGTGTCGCTCTCGCTCATTACAGCAGCGGGTACCGACATCAAGGTACACAACCGACACATATCCGACGGCAGGTTCATCCGAATCTAGATCTGGGATGCTCATTTGGGCAAGCTCCTTCGCGTGTATCGGTAGTGCTTTTCACAATATTGCAGGGATAATGGAACACCCGACTAGAAATGTGAGCACGACGGACGTGACGTCGCTCTGCTTGGACTCGCAGTGCCGCAAGTTTATCGTTGGCGACCACGAAGGCAACGTTAGAGTCTTCGACTACCTCAACGGCGCCGTCATGAAGGCGTTTGCGTATCCCGAGACCAACGACCGCGCGCACTTGAGCGAAGTCGCGCGCTTGGTCTACTGCAACGCGTACCGCAGCGTCATTTCTGCGTCGTGGGACACGACTGTCTGCATCCACGACGAGTCCGACCCCGACCGCGGCGTGCTCCTCCGAAAAATGACGGGCGGTCACACGGGGGATATTACGAGTCTTGCCTACTCGCACACGCTCTCGCTCATCGCGACGGGGTCGCTCGACTGCATGGTGCAAATCTGGGACTACGAGTTTGGCCGGTATAACCAGATCTGAACCTGCAAGTGACTTCTTTTATGCGGCGTAGGCTCGACGGTACGTGCATTGGGCACACGAGCGGCATCTCGAGCCTCCTCTTCCTCGACCCGTACCCGCTCCTCGCCGTGTGCGACCTCCACGGCAACGTGTGTCTCTGGGCCATGCGTCCGAGCAAATTCAAGTACCGCTGTGTGCTGCGCTTCCGCGTGCAGACGGCGCTGTCCCTCACCAAGCGACACGGCGCATCGCACTTGCCTACGATGGCCACGCATGTGCACACAAAGCCGCTGACGCGCCGGCAGAAAGCAGCGATTGGCCTCATCCCGTCCAGCGCCATTCTCGATTACTTTTTGATTGGCGGTGACGACAAGGGCGTGCTGAGTGTGTGGAACCTCTACCCGTTGCTGCACAAACTGGAGGCTGATTTTGGCATCCGCGCCATGGACAAGGCCGTCGAGTGCGTCAACCCGGGGCGCAATCTGCGCATTCACGCGGCTGAGCTCGTGCGCAAGACCAAGGATACGCCCGAGTGGCTCTCGTACGCGGCCCGCGACCCGCAAACCACGTTTCACTTTAGCCGCGAGAGCCAAATGCCGCTGCTGCGCTTGCAGCAACTGGAGGCGGTCCACCAATGGCGTGCGCACGACGACGTCATCTACTCGATCCAAGTCGTGCTCGACCACAGCACGGTGACGCTCGTCACGTCATCCTTTGACCGCATGGTCAAGCTCTGGCGCCTCGACGGCGGGAGCCTCGGGGCGCTCACACAGGGCGACATGGAGCTCGGAAAGCAGCCGTACAAGTTTCCCATCGACTACCAGCACCGCGAGTTTGAGAAGCTCGTGCATGCCAAGACCGTCATCAAGCAAGTCCGCAAACTCAAAAAGGAGGACGAGAGTCGGGACCCTGTTCGCGTCTTGCGGCCCAAGGCACCGCCACCTCCCGCTATTGAGAGCATGCGCGAGTACCTCGACGGTCCGCCGGGGTCGGCCTCGTCCGGGAGTCTCCCGCCCCTGCATCTCAAATCGGCATCGGCGACTTGGACTAAAGTGCGCAAGACGCCGCGCATCAAGCCTGTCTCGGCGCGCGCGGCAGGCCGCTCGATCCGCGGGAAACGCGCGGACGACGTTAGGAAAGAATCGTAGGACGTAAGGCTCGATTGTTACTTTGGCTGACTGCTGTCCTCGTCCTCGTCCATGGGGCCGACGACCGCAAGGATCTGCGTCTGGAGCACCGCCGCTTCGTCGTCGCGACCCGCAGCCCGGAGCGCCTCGGCCCAGTTGTGCATGGCCGTGATCGTTTCCATGTGCTCCAAGCCCAGCTTGGCCTCGCGGATCTCGGTCGTGGCTTGGAAGAGTGCAATGGCCTCGTCGAGCTTCCCGAGCTCCTTGTAGACGATGCCAACGTTGTTCATTGCAAGCGCCGTCAGCGTCGAGTCGCGCCCGAGCTTGGCTTGTAGCCGCTCCATGGCCTCGACGACCATCTCTTCGCCCTTCTCCTTCTTGTGCGTGTGCCACAGCAGCATGCCCACGTTGGACATGCCAATCGCAATGTCCGGGTGGTCGTTCGCGAGGTTTTCCTTGCGAATACGCAGCGATTCTAGAGACACGATTGGGAAATCACCGAGGATCGAAGCGAGTACCTTGGAAGCAGTCGAGCGCGTTGTCGAGGGCCTCGACCTTTTGCATGCCCGAAAGCACATGCGACTGGAGGCGGTAGACGCCGCCGAGGTTGTGCAAGGTCGTCGCGAACGACGCATGGCCTTCGCCGACGCACTCCTTGTAGACGCGGAGGGCCTCTTCGTACGTCGCGATCGCGTCCGTGAGCTGGCTCAGGTTCTTCTGCATGAGCGCAATGTTGTTGAGCGTGCTCGCGTACACCGGGTGGTCGGTGCCAAAGTGGTCCTTGACCGTATCCCGGCAGAGGAGCGCCATGTCCAGCGCCGCCTCAAAGTCGCCTTGGCTAAAGCATGTCTTAGTCGCCTCGCGGAAGCAAGCATGCAACGTACGTGTAGAACTCGCGGACCTTTTGCTGCATGCCAGCAATGTTGGACTCGGTGTCGGCAAAGTGCGCCCGGCCGGGCGTCGACGTCACGGGCACGTGGAGCTTGGACGAGAAGGCGCGCGCAGGTATCAGCGCCGGGCGGCGCGTCGCGTGGAAGAGCGGTACCACGGCGATTGCCGAGCGTCGCACGAGTCGGGCCAAGACCATTGGATCAATCAATGCAGGACCACGCCGAATTCCACCAGCGTCGACCGATTTTCACCTTAAAATTCGGATGCTTTGTATTGCTTTCGGGTGCTTCAAATATTATTTAACAGCTGGACGTTGAAGTTGCCGGGAACGGCATGGTCGCATGCTGCATGGAGTGCAAGGGTCAAAGACGGTGCATACAAGTACACGAGATGGCGAGGTGATTCGCGAGAACCCGCCTGTCGCGAGAACCCGCCTATATGCATGCTACGCCCAAGCGAACTTGCCAGAGCCTGTCGCGCTCGCAGTGGCTATTTGCAAGACGGAGACCCAGGACCGTGATCTGAGGTCTGCCGCATGAGCACACGATGTATAAACAATTCACATGCATAGCAGCACTAGACATGGATAAGAAGCCGTGTCGTTTCGCGGGCCGACTGCGGCGTCGAGGGCAGTGTCCGCAGCGAGTAGACCTATCGCCATGGCATGGGTAGGATGCAACAGGATGGACATCGTACGAGGTAGTTGCCGATGGGCAAGAGCCATGGGAGGAAGATGGCGTAGAGGCTAAACGCCCCGTCGTCGGTGGCCGTAGAAAGCCACATGACGAGCGGAAGCACGGGGAGGAAGAGGCAAATGACGCTGCACGTGACGCGCAAAATAGCTCGAAAGTCCTTTTCTTCGTCCTCGAGCGCGCGCGGCTAGCATCCGATAAGCCATGAAATATGCGCCTGCGACGTACGAGGAAGACGGCGATCGCTACGAGGAAGGCCCACGTCGGAAGAAACACGAGTGGCCACGACCAGGGCAGGATGGCGTCGGCGTGGAGGCCAAGGGCAATGGCTTGCACGCCGAGGATGGCTTGCCACTGCATCGTCACGAGGAGGTAGAGTGTCCAGCCGTAGCACGGCAGCAGCACCATGCTGCAGAAAGACCAACTCACTGCGCCGCCGACGCGAAGCGTGAGCAAAAGATGGAAGAGGAAGAAGCAAAAGTAGGCTGCGAACGCCGTGTCGCCTTGTTTCGCGACCTCCAAGCAGCTCGTCGTTTCATGCGCGCAGCGGTACCGGTAGTGGCGCACGTAAAAGGCGCAGAGCGGCAGCGAGAGCCACAGCCATGTCGTGTCCATCTCGCCCGAGTGCCATATAATGTGCTCTTGGACCTTGATGGCCATCATGACGCCTAGCCAGATTGAGGGCATGACAAGGAGGAGGAGGACGTACTTGTCAGCATTGCGAGCAGCAGCGAGGATGTGTGGCGCTCCACATCGCAGGCCGTGGTCCACACGCGCTTGGCAATGGAGCTGGCCATGGGCAGATAGAGAGGTTCGTTGAAAAATGACGTCCGTGGCTAGAACCAGCGAGTAGCTTTGCAATTATTTTATTGACACGCAAATTTAAAGAATAAAATAAGTTCTGGGTCGGCCATAGCCACGCAGAGACGCGCTCAACGTTGGCTGTCGCAGCTCTAGTCACAAGAAAGGAAGAGACAGCAGCCATTTGCTGCCACGAGTCTTCGCAATGTAAACGTCCGCAACGGCTCCGAAAGCTCCGAAAGCTCCGAGGTTTTGGCACACGAGACAGGCGACAGAGCCTTGGATGATGGGGCAAGGGCGGGCTCACTCAATGATGACTCGAGTATCCGCATGATCAGCTTCAACGTCGCGGAGCTTGATTCACTTCGGGTACACGGTGCTGCCATGCGGTGATGTGGCTCTGGCGATCTGGTTCTGCGAAATGCATCGGGCGTAGTTTGGTTGCTTCTCCAACGGCGGCCCCTCGGGACGCTATAGCAGTGGGGACACGGTCCATATTGCACTATACATAATGACCTCCGCCAATATCTACTCTCTACATTGCGTCGAGTTCGCCGAGCTCCATCTCAAAGTCGCAATCGCTCAGCGACGACGCGTGGTTGAAGCGCGCGTCGCTGACAAGAGGCATCATGCCGCTCGCCTCCATGTCGATGCGATGCAGGTCGTCGTCGTCGCCGTCTTCGTCGTCGTCGTCGTCTTCCTCAAAGTCATCTTCGTCGACGCCAAAGTCCATTGCAAATGCTCCAGGCACGGCCGCCGCGACGGGCTCGGCCTTGACCGAGAAGAGCGCGGCGGTCGGCGCCGGTGTCGGCAGCGCACCGGATGTCGGAGCGGGCCGCTTGACGAGCACGGCGCCAAGTGCCGTCGGACCGTCGTCCGTGAGCGTGTTGCAGCGCTTGGTCGCGGGGCACTTCTTGTAGCAGTGAAACTAGTCGATACATGAGCTCCAGTGCAAGTTCAAAACGACGTCACGCTACCTTGCGTCGGCAGACCGTGGACCGGTTCTTTCCGCAGCAGCACATTTCCTTGCAGACCGGGCAACCGCCAATGAACGTCTGTGCGCCGTGCTCTTCGACCATCTTCTCGGCGCATCTACACAATCCACGCATAAGTCGACGTACCCACTTGACACATTGATACTTTTGGCAAAAAATGTGCGGGCACGTGAGGCAGCGCACGTTCTTCTTGCGGAGATTGCCACATCGATGGCAACTCGCGCGGTGGCGCACGGTCCCGTCGGCGTCCGTCGTGAGATCGCTCGGAAGCGCCTCCTTGTTGTGCAGCAGCGCGCTCGACTCGGCGGGCTCCGAGTCGTACACGGGCTCATGGCCGTCGTAAAAGAGAAGCGAGTGGTTCGCGGACGTCTGGAGCGTCCCGACACCGCCGATGGTCGGCGTGGGCAGCGCCGACGTTGTCGCCGACGAGGACGACTCGGAGCTCGGGTCCTCCTCCTTGAAGCTCGAAAAGAGCGACGAGCTTTCGACCATATCGATGATCCCAAACGCATCGTCGAGCTCGAGCGCGCCGTTCATATTGAGCCCGAGCTCGTTGCCCGAGAAGAACGTGTTGTTCATCATGTCGGGCGGCAGACCCCACATCGACGAGATCGCAGAGTCCTGTGCCTCCTCGTCGTCGTCCGGCGCCCATTGCAGCATGTCGTCAAGGGACGCGACCGGCATCGAAGGCGGCTTCTGGACCGCAGCGGGCGCCGATTGCTGTTTGGCCTTCTTCTTCATGAGCGCTTCCTTTGCCTTGGCGAGCGAGTTGTCGAGCGGCGTGAGCGCCGGCTTGCGTGGCGGCCCCGAGAGTGCCGTCGAGGGCACGGGCACGTGGGCGCAAATGCAGTGGCGCTTGACGCAGTTGCGGCACTGGACGCACTTCTTGAGATGGCACTTGCACACCTTCTTGTCCTTCTTCCCAATCAAAAACGAGTTGAGCGGCAGCATGAGCGGCGTCGCCTTGACGTCCTTCTTCGTGAGTGTTTTGGGCGGCGCCTTCGGATCCTTTGTGCCAAGCAGCAGCTGGAGCGAGTCGAGCATGTCCTTGATGTCGGGCATGTCCCGCAGCCGAAGAAGCGGCACGAGTTGCCCGAGGCCCAGCGTCTCAAACACTGTGATTGGCTCGCATTTCGTGAGCCGCTGTACGTAGAGCTGCAGCGCCGGCACCATCCAGTAGCGGACAATATCCGGCGACGTGAGCGCGTCAAACTGCGACGCCATCGTCACGAGCGGCCACGCGCCGAGCTGCAGCTGGCACGTGTTGAGCATGGCTAGTCGACACAATTCTGTAAAATCCTGTAAAAATGACGAAAAAAATCAGAAAAAAAACATACCCGACTTGCGACCGAGGCGCTCTTCAAAGTCGAGCGCTTGCATCTGCGCGTGGAGGTGGTACCCGTGCAGAAAGTAGCTCGTGAGAAAGACGGCGGTTGATGGCTTGTCTTGGCCACTCGGCTTGGGCACATAGAGCGCGTACATCCAACCGGACGGAATGAGGAGCGTCGACGTGGGCTGCACCTCGCACTTGATGCACTTGTCGACCGTGTCGGCAAAGAAGAGCGAGCTCGAGAACGACGAGAGCTGCCACTCCATAAACTTGTCAAAGCGCGCGGCTAACGGCGGGACCAGGTACACCCAGAGCGGCAGCCCGTGCAGGTGGTGCAGCCACGCCGAGCTCCCGTTCGCATTCATACGAAAGTCGCGGTACGTGCCCGCGCCGTACACGGCAGCGTACGTGTTGGGGTTGCGCGTCGACGACGACCGGTTGAGCTGGTGGAACCAGTCCATGTCCTGGACGGCTACACGCACAATTGCATGCGATGGATGCAGGATTGATGGCGTGTACCTTGCGGCGGCGACACGTGGTACTCGAGCGGCGTGTCGACGATAGGAAACTCGATGTTGTGCGGCCACTCGTCCAGCGACTGGTTGGACGAGGTGAGCGACGCTACCTCGGCGTACGAGACCGCTCGGTACTCTTGCGACGCAGTGTCGATCGCCTTGATGATGCTAGAGGAAGCTATAGTCGTATGAGCCATCATGATGAGCGGCTGCGTGGACGGGTTACCAATGGTGTTGGGCAAGTCGTCGACCTGTAGCATGGTCGAGGGCACGACGAGGCCAGGCACGTTGCCGACTGCATCCTCGACTAGGATCGGCTCCTGGAAGCCATGGCTCTGGATGGCCGTGATCACGAGACTCTAAGCCCGTGATAAGTGATGTGATGATGGAGAAGCGATGCGTACCGACGGCGCCATGCGGCGGATGCCGGACCGAGCAAACATGCCTGCATGGAGAAGGTGATGGAACTTCTCGCTCGTCTTGTCGACGGCAATGGATGCGTTCATCGTTGAGAGCTCCTTCATGTTGAGCGAGGCAAACTGGCGCGGCAGCGGCAAGAGCGACGCATCGGCCGTCTTCATGGGAGCGGCTGCAACTGCAAAAATGCAGACGTTGAGGAGACGCTAGTCAGATAAGATTGGGACGTACACTTGATCTTGGCGCCTTGGTTCGTGCACGACGGGCACGCGTACTGGGCGATCGCAAACGCCTTCTCTTCCGTCATCTGCACGCAGTTGCCGTGGAACCATCGGTCGCAGTGGGCGCACTCGATCATGAAGCGCTTCGGGTCGTAGCCTTGGCGGCAGATGCACAGCGCAAGCGTCCCGCCGTCCATGGTGGCGGCCTCGTTGTTACTGCTGCTCTCGGCAGCCTTGGCCTTGGCGTCCGGCCCGAGGCCATGTCCATAGGCCGCCGTCGTCATTGCTTGCGTGGATGGCTTTGATAAAAACACGCAATATTTCCGCCCTTTTTATATCGCCCGTCGCATAGGAAAGACAAGTCATTTTAAATGAGATCGCGGCAGAGACAGGGGTTCAGCGAGACGCGTTCAAGTCCGTTCAACGCGTTAAACCTATTTAACGCAGGACCAAGCCGGCATGTTGAAGTTAGATGGCATCGCGAGCGATCCCGTACCCTTGGCGACACTAGGTCGCTGGATCATCTCGAGTGTGCTACATTGCAGGAGCGACATGGGGCGTGGGCATCGACGACTGGCTGCATCGACCTGCCCCAGGTGCTCATCGCCGTCGTTCAGTGCACGGCTTCGAAATGCGACGTCGTCGCCTTCCTCTCGGCCATGCCGCAGGCAGTCCTCACGCCATCGCTGGCGGCGCTACTGCAACCACAGTGGACGCGAAGCATGCTTCGATGACCTTGGCGGCCTCAACCGAGCCGGCGTGCGCGGCATCGACTTTGGTTGTCAACTCACCGCGAGCAAAGTTTCCGCCCTGGCCACGGCCGTCCGTTGCCTGCAGAGCACAGTGCTGCACTAGCGATAATACTTCGCAATTCGTCCCGACAAGAAGAAGGAGCTTCAACAAGCCCTCGCCGAGTGCCTCAACCTCACGATCACCGCCAAAAATCGCCCCGCCTTGTGTAGCCCCGTGCGACCGGCTGCGACGTAGAGTACCTCCTACTTGTGTGTTTGTGCTTATGCGTTCATACGGTGACTTTGATTATTCAAGACACTCGAGCCACGACACAGTTTGTATGTGCGGCCAAGTGACTGCGAATCCCGTGGAGCATGCTCGAGGACAATACGTGCTACTGCTAGAGAACTTGATTGAGCGCATGAAAATCTCTTTACGAAGCCTTTATCCAACGCTCTTGAGCACTTGGGTTCTTGATGTCCTGTCGATCGACAGGGTTGGAGGCAGCAACCTGCGTTTCCTAGCCGCAACACGTATCTACTATATACTAGAATGAATGAATCCCTTCTTTGGGGGAAAGTTGGCCGAGTCGTGAAGCAGCAGCGTCGACGATAAATTGCATGGGAAGCCTCTCCAAGAACCCACACCTCTCCGGCATGTTCACCGTCGTTTTCTAAACCACATTTTTGAAATGCCACACAACGAAAGACATCATGTACAAGCTAGTTCATGACAGTCTAGAGACGCAAAGGTTCATACTAGGGCTCTTGAAAGGTACTACAAGGGAATAATGGCTCACGCATTCAGCCTTGTGTAGCCATTGTAGGCGGTGCCGACCAAGTCCAACCTGCACAAGAAAATTACTTTTCGCTTTGCACGAAAGACTTGCTGTATTGTGTAGGACGCGCCAAAAAGCTAATATTTGCTCCTGCTTACCACGAGATCCGCAAACGACAGCGGTCGCTCTGTTTGTGCGGCGCACCAAGAGCATCGACGACGTAGGCGTCGGCGTTGTGTGGAAGATTGCCGCAAAAGAACGGTACCTCATGGGCCAGCGCCAGTACCCGCAAGACCGCAAGCTCATCGTCGTCTTGCAGCATGGGCACGACGAAGAGCAGTTCGCGGACGTGCCGCCCCGCGGCAATGAGCTCTGGGAGCACGTAAAAGATGTCTGTCGGCAGCATCGAGGCCATGGGCGACACGTTTAGCCACTTCAAGCGCGGTAGGCGCGGCGCGCCAGCAAGCACCGCAGATACTGCATTGCAGTTCAATGGGACAGTATCCAAGCGGAGCTTCTCCAGATGCGGGCATGTCGCGACAAGATTTTCCATGAGCAGCGTCGCAAAGTCGCGCGCACCGATCAAGCTGCGCGAGACGCTAAGGTACTGCAGCGCCGGGACGCAGACTAAACCGGTGAGGAACGAGTCGACGTCATCAGCACGCAACGCAACGACGTGGAGCTCGTGCAGTTGACGAAACATCGGCGCCGCTGCGGGGCATCGGACCAATTGCTCAAAGACGTCGCAGCAGAGGTGCTCGAGGTGCGTGTGTCCGAGTGCCGTCGCAAGGTTCTCGACGGTAACGTCGTCGGCCACAGCGTCAAAGTGATCTGTTACGCCCAACTCGACTCGCTGCAGTGAAGCTGGGAGCTTCCGGCCATGAAAGCCCAAGAGGTTGACAACGTTGCTGACAGTGAGCTCTTGGAGAGTTGTGCTGG